TCCATTCGTCAGTTTTATTTTCCATAAAAAGGGGATTGGATCATATTACCTTAGAGTCAGTTCCAAATTTGACCTAAAATGTCATGCACATCACCATGCTTTCTGTACGTCACTGCAGTCATCTATTTTTCAAAATTCCTCTAAGAAACTTTTAAGCAGGCCCTGCATCTATTAAATACTCCAATCCTTTGCCAACTATGTCACAAGAACATATGTTGGGACATTCTTTTTAATAATTGTTAACCTCTGAGCACATTGAATAATTCAATATAAATAATGCAGTAATAGTCATGAGAAGAGAAAAAATCTACTCTGGAATCTACTTTTATGTGAAGTAAATCTCCTAATACACTATGGGGAGTAACTGATTAATAGTTTGAGGGAAAAAATTTATTTCTCACCTACTCTGTGCCAGGCACATTGTTAGGCACTTGTGAATATTATTTCTGGTGATCCTCACAACAGCGTGTAAAGGAAGACATTTTTTCCATACACAAACTGAAGAAACTGAACCTCAGCAAGGTTACATAACTACCTGAAGGTAACACACCTGTTTAGTGGCAGGACTGGGATTTGAATCCAGCAGATTAAAATGTTGTGCTTACAACACTGTGAATATACTTAAGGCCACTGAAGTGTATACTTTAAGATGGTTAATGTTATGTGAATCTTACCTCAAAAGGCAAAAGAAATTAACGGAAAAAAATGTACAGATCTTTGTCTACTTAAATCGGGGTAACATTCTGATAAACTCATATAAATTGAAAATAACCTAAATAAAAAATGCATTTAATACCTCTGACCTACCCAACATCACAGCTTAGCCTGGTCTCTACTTTAAATATGCTCAGAACACTTACATTAGCCTACAGTTGGGCAAAATCATCTGACACAAAGCCTATTCTAGAATAAAGTGCTGAATATCTCATGTAATTTATTGACTACTGCACTGAAAGCGAAGGACAGAGTGGTTGTATGGCGACAGGACGGTTTTAAGTCCATCATGATAACGTGGCTGACTGGGAGCAATGCTCTGCTGCTGCTGCCGCTGCTCAGCATCACGAGAGAGTATGTACTGCTTATCACTGGCCTGGAAAAGGATCCAAATTCAAAAATCGAAGTACAGTTTCTACTGAATGCATATGGCTTTCGCAGCATCATGAAGTTGAAAAATCATTAAGTCAAACCGTTGTTAAGTCAGGACCATATGTATATTTATAGTTTGTGCCTTAATCACAGTACGGTAAACTGGAAAGTCCCTAGGACTCAGCTCTCTGGCTAGGCAATTCTGCAACCTTGAACAAGTCATTTCACCCCTCTAGAAGTCAGTTTTCCTGTATACAAAATAAAGGAGAGGTGAACTAAATGGATGATTTCTAGGGGCCTTTTCAGCTCTTTCAGTCTTCTCTACTTTTAGTCTATGGCAGAACATTAACTGGTCTTTAATGCCCTCTTGTGGGTAAAAACTGAACTGTTACTATTACTGCATTTGTGCAATATTTCAGAATGATTGGTTCATTAAAGTAACAACAATAAACCCAAATCAAACAAGCCATTCGACAGATAGAGAAGCTGGATGAATGACTATTTTGCTTCTACCAATTTTTTTATCATGGTGACACAAGCTTAGACTCATAACCTTTCTAAACAAAAATAACTACATGGTCTCAAATGTGGTCTGGAAAAAAGGATAGATCAAGCAGGCATTGCTCTCTTCCACCCACCTAAGTTTTTTTATTTTATTAGAACATGATTCTTTCAATAATATATTGGTATTTTTTAAAACACCTTAAACAAAATTAAAAAGGAAGAGATATGTGAGAGGATTGCAGAAAACCAGTAATATGGATATGATCAAACGTTAATACCCATGATATTAAAAAAGAGTTTCTAGAAATCAATAAGAAACAAAAACGAAAGTTCCCCACCCAAATGGGCAAAGGATCAGAATGGGTTATTCACTCAAGAAAAAAAATAAAAATGGTCAATAAATATATGAACAGTTATTCATTCTCAAAGAATGAAAGAAATGGAAATCAAAACATGAGATCATTTTTCATCTATTGCATTGGGCAGATGTGGTTAAAAAGGAAGATAATATTCCATGAGTGATTGAGTGCTTAGAAAAATAGACCTCCTCTTACTCCATTACATAATATTGATGTAATTTGGGACAATTTTCTAGAGAACAATTTGCCAATATATATTAAAAGCCATTAAAATATTCATAATCTTTGATCCAGAAATTTTACTTATAGGAAATAACAAAGATATGAATTAATATTAATATTAGGGCCATTTATTGCTGTTTGATTTTATAAAGAGGAGACGGTTGGAAAAAACCTAAATGTCTAGCAATAGTGTTGGATTACATAGATTATGGTAAATCCTTCAGTAAAATATTATACAAGCATTAACTATAGTCCCTAGAAGAATATATACTGATTTAGAGAAAAGTTCAGTATATATTAAGTGAAAAAGACTATAATCAGAGTGTGTGGTATACCGTCAATTTTCTTTATTATATAAATATATTAAAATATACATTAACAAGTGAAAATCTGGTTATCCCATGGCAGTAGGATTACAGATTATTTTTCTTTTCTTATTTTTTCTGTTTCTTTTCTTCTGTAGCTTAGCTGTTTGTTTTATCATGGATGTGTGTAACTTTTGTAATCAGAAAAAAAAAATAAAGACAAAGGTTTAAAGTGTCTACTGGTAACATTATTTTCCTGTTGGGAATAAATGGAAAAAGAGACAATTCAAACGTTATACCAAGACTTGTTGATCTATCACCAGACTTTATACTGAAAAGGCAGCCAGGAACAAGAAGAGAGAAAAGAGAAGAGATAAGCCTGTCTCTTGCATCCTCACAAATGCACCAGAGGAAGGCATGATTTGTATTTTTACTCTAATCACCACAGCTAATGTTGAATTAAGAATTATTTCTTTCATTAAGGCAGTGTTTCTTGATACCTTCTTATCAATCAGTTAAGTAGAAGAAGCACAGCTTGGCATGCCTGGTTAAGATTCAGGAGTGCTATAGTGAGACTCATTATGCATTTACCTTTAGTTCATAGAGCATGAAAGAACTGACAGATTACTCAAAAATACACATACTTTTACTCACAAAATCCATCATTTAAAAAGGCACTTAAATATGGCTGAATCAAAATTTTCTCTGTTGTCTTGGAGAAGACAAAGCAGTTCACAAAGACACACAGATCACCACAGTAGTTCCTAAAGGTGACAGTATCTTCACATCTTGAGCTGTGAAGATATTTATTCTCATTGGGAAAGCACTAAACAGACCCTCCCAACCTCAAAAAACTCTGACACAAACATCGCCCCTCTACCAACAAAATAAAAGGCAGATCCCTGCTCACCAGTGTTTGCAAACATGTCAATAAGGGGACATTTAATAACCTTTCATTCTTGAACTATGCCTAGCTTCTATCATTACCTCTTCCTTCTCTTAAAGAGAAAGGAGGAGAGTGGTAGCTTTATTGGTAATGGTAATTTGAGGAAATTAAAAAGATAAAATGGATATGTTAGTTAGCTTGAGTGTGGTGATTTTTTCAGTGTATACATATATCAAACTGGCAAGCTGAGCACCTTAAATATATAGAATTTTTATTTGTCAATTGTACTTCGATAAAGCTGGGAAAAAAAGACGAGTTTCCAAAAAATCATGCACATAATCAACATTTTATCAAAAGGTGTATCACAATTTACATGCCCTAAAATCAAGTGTAAGAAAAACACTCCACTGTAATGAATCTATATTTCCATAGCAAAGATAGAAAAACATGAAATGCTTATCTTGATCACTGAGGTAAAAAAAAATTGTTGTACCTAGAACTACTTAGGCAATTGAAATTAAAGTAGAGAGGCCCTCCCCAACTCGCTTCCTGAAATTACTCAAATCAATGCCTCGATTTTCTATTGTGTTTTAAAAATTCAGTTATAGAACTGAAGAGAAACCATCTATTCCACACCTTCCACTTCCTGGAAGGGTCATAGCCAAACTGTTTCCAAACAGAGAATGTATACTAGTTCTTAAAATATAAAGAGGAGATTTCCTACTGGAGTGGGAATCAAACAGAAACAGCAAAAGAAAAAAGCTAGCTTTTTCTTTCTAAAATACCAGATTTGTATGAGCATGTCCTTTTTAAGAGGCTTATAAATCTATGACTTTCTATAGCTTGAAAGTTGCATTATTATAGCCTCACTAACAGGATTTCAGGTGCTGTATTTGAAGCATGATCTGATAATTTGTTTAATGATTATCCTTAGGGATGGAAACAGTAAATGAGGTAAAAAAAAATAAAAATAAAAGGTTTTTTTTCCCCTGTGATTTTACTGCCCAAAGATCCCATAGGCAAAGTAGACGGAAGGGAGAAGTGGGCTAAATCTGTGAAGGATGGAACCAGTGTAATGAAATATGTGCTATGGAGAGACCTGTGTCTGTAATTTAAAAGCCACCCTATGTATATTCAAACCATGTGATGCTAATGCAAGTATCTTTCAAGTGTAATATGTGAGAAGCAAGAGAATAGAATATTTAACAAAACTATTTTTTATTTTCTGCTTTGTTATTTTCATGTTCTCCTAAGATAGAGACAGTATGCCGGTCAAGAAAATAAAGGGAATATGTGTATTCTGTTTATATTTTGTGATGGCTTAACATTTGTTTTAAATTATAATGAAGAAATAGAGTGGAGAGTCAAGATTTAATTTGTAGTCCCAATACTCTTCATGCATTAAAAAGTGGCATAAAGTAAAAGGAACCTACCCACCTTAATCTTATGTTTCCCAGTCAGTAGAACAACATCTGTGTCACCACTAGGTAGTGGCTTCCTGAAATGCCATATGAAAAATGATCCAGAGGCCACATGCAGGGCAGACTGAAAGAGTGACTTGATTGATAAGTACTGTTTGTCATGCCCACCAGTTGCTCAAAAGAGAAAGAGAGAGAAGCACAACATTGTACACTGGTTATTCAAAGTGCACTTTTTATTTACTTTAACACAGATGAATTTTTACAGTTGAGATAAAATATAGGATACACAATTTTGAGTTTTTAGCAGCACCTGCAACGAGAGGATTGTGGAATACCTCACGGTAAATTAGACATGGCTGAGGCAGGCACAAATTAACCTGAAATTCATCAAACCATTGAAGACACACAGACTCTGAGGCCCCCTGAATGTTAGTCCAATACATGAAAATAAACCAAATAAATACTCTGTATGATGGTTTAATGGATCATTGGAAACCAGTATAGTTCCAATTAGAAGTATCCCACTCAAAAAAATCTAGTGTTCATTAAAAAAATAATGAACCTAATGAAAATATTGCACTAAAAATTCTAGGGTACACAATTTCTAAGCCCATATTCTTGGTTCTAAGCACAGTTCTTGGTACTCACACATTTCAGCCTTTGGTGTTTTTTAATCTTACTCAAACTAATGTCAGCACCCCGCTGAGTGTTACTCACCAAAGTGCCACTGTTTTTGTCACTTAATGTGAAGTGGTTTCATTAAGATATTGTGTAGTGATTTTGCAAAAAAAAAAATTGGTATGGCTAAGAGGAAAGGGGCTTCAGTTGACCTGCCAATAAAATTAATATTTGTTTTGGATGGACAGGAGGCCTATGAACGTGATACACACATAATTTTTTTACTTAAATGACCACATGCCATTCTGATGTACTTCTGTGAGTAGACAGAGGTATTTATGAAGGCCCGAGATCTACAAATAGAAACTATTATATGCAGAGTGCAAGTAGAAAGAGAAAGCCCCAGATCTCATGCACTTAAAAACAATTAGCATTTAACAGCCTCGACATACGGATTTTTACCTTAACATGATTATAGCAAAATTATCATAGAACTTGGAAACCATGTGGCTGGCTATAAGCATAGGCAAAATAGGGACCAATGCCTAAGAGCTATGGGGTTCCCGTTCTGGCTTTGACTTCTGACATCAAAGTTAGTTGGACAATGGGGTCAGAACTATATTTAAATTGGAAATACTGAGTATGACTGCATTAAAATATCACCTTCCACTTGTCTATGTGGCCAAAAAGTCCCAGACCTCTTAAAGCACATAAGGTCTCACATGTAAGACTGATTCCATATGTGGCTACAATGGCGAGTTCTAGGATATATTCCTGTGAAAGCACCCACTTCCTCCCTGGCCTAGGTCTCTTTGGGTTCGTTTCTAACTGTCCCTCATGACCTTGGGTCACTATTTTGATCTTAGATGTTTTAAAAGTATGTATTAAAAGCAATGCAGAACAAACATCAACCAACAGAAACTAGACTGCATATTCATAATATAATACATAGCTGGCAGTCACAGTAATCAAAATTTGACAAACCATTTTTAATATTTTAATACAATATCTTTAGGGTGCTTTTATCAGGACACATAATGACTCCTCAGAGCTCAAGAATTTTTCCTACCATGGCACAAAAGCAAAAGAAAGAGCCATATAATTGCTATTATATGCTGATAACAGAATAGTTTAAGAATTTTTAAAAAGTCCCTCTCCATAGTCTCAGCTGTTGCCTTAAGATACATCTCTTAACTCTAGCAGAGCACTGAAATACAGTTCGTAGCTTACAAATTCATAGAACTTAGAGTTGGAAGGGAGCTTCAACCAAATATCTAGGCAGTACAGAAATTCTTTTTATGGCATTTTAGCAGATGGTCATCCAGCATCTTCTTGAATACTTTCACTAAAGGGGAGTTCACTATTAAGGCAGTCTATTCCACTGTTTGACAGCTCTAATTATGAGAAATCCATTCTAACACTGGGTTAGAGTCTGCTCTCTTGTTATCTTCAATATCCTAGTTTTCCCAGCTGAACATACAGTTACAATATACAAGAAATCAGTTCCTTCTCCTACAGTAAATATGGGAGTAAAGGAACCTTGTGAGAAAAGCCTGTTATCCCCTAATGTTTTCAGAAGCCTTCTCTGAGAGCACAGCATGGTGGATCAAAGGACCATCCAAGTTGGGAGCAGAGAGCGCTGCATCCAAAGCCATATACTAAGCAGCATTTCTGAATTGGTAAGAGGTTGTCAGACAAGCAACATCCCTATGCAGCAAAAGTAGACTTCTGAAGTAAAAGCAGACCACTCACTTATTTGCAAGGATGGTTGGCATATACTTAAGCATAATCAATTCACAAGGTACTTCAAACACAAGGAGAAAAAAATCAATTCCCAGTGTCATCAGTGCATCTCTTATTGAGATGGTATTTTCTGAAAAGCTCAGATAGGAACAAACCACATATAAGGACTTAAACAAGGCAGGGTACATCATTATATTTTTCATTCCTAATTATCACAACCTCTTCCTAATTCAAGCTTAGGACATCTTTTTTGCATTATTATTCTTCATTGTAATATAGTTCAGAGTCTTATATTTTTTCCTTTGGCAGAAGTGTTGGAAACTGCTTGGCAAGAGTTGATGCTGACATTTCTTACTTGATTAATGGAATGCTTTAAGGGATAGCTTTAGCTCTTTATCTCCTTCATGCGGCTGGGTTCTAAGTTTAAACTGTGATTTGAAAAATATCTAAATCTCTCAGGACTAAAGCTTTCTGAAATGTCCTGATACACACAAGAAGGAAATAGCAAGAAATCACGCAAAATACACTTGGCTTGATAAAGCTTTTTTTAAAATTGCTCTACAACTTCAATTTGAAGGGCTCTGTTTAACAAGCACAACCTTAACTCTCATCCTTTTTGTGCGTGTGTGCACTCTTAGAGGGGCACAGTTATTCTTACACTATGACTGGCCAATTTGGGGCACACTTTAAAAAGGCTTCCTACTTTAACAGCATGAAGATCCTGCTTTGGAGCCACTGTTCAAGTCAATAGTGTGACCTAACATGCAATGCTCCAGCTGTTCCTCTACAGCCAACACCTGTCTGACAGCTTCTTCAAAGGCCACTGTCACATTTGTATCATCTTTGGCACTTGTTTCTAGGTAAGGGTAGTCCCCATTCTCCATGCACCAGGCTTGTGCCTCCTCAGTAGTCACTTGCCTATCCTCTTTGTCTACCTTGTTACCCAGAACTACAAATGGGAAGTGCTCAGGGTCTTTCACATCTGCATAGTAGATGAATTCTTTCTGCCAGTTGCCAAGGTTCTCGAAGCTCTGCCGATCATCCACGCTGAAGGTCAAGAGGCAGCAGTCTGCTCCCCTGTAGAAGGGTGTCCTAAGGCTCTTGAAGCGTTCCTGCCCTGCAGTGTCCCAGATCTGGAGAGTTACAAAACGTCCATCTACCTCCAGATCCCGATTTAAGAACTCTACCCCTATGGTGTGAAAAGCCTGGGAGTCAAATTTATTGGTTACATAACGGTTCATAAGCGAACTTTTCCCAACTCCACCATCACCCAAGAGAATGACTTTTAAGAGCAAGGATTTCCCACTCATTGTTGCAGCACCAGATAGAGAGGAGTTTATAACCAAGAAAACCTGAAAATAAAAGAAAAAGTAGGAGGGAAAACAGTTAAATCTGAAAATGAAATCAACTTCATAGTAAATTTCTCTGAATTTCGAGGTCCTCTATTTAACTTCTCTTGATTCATGCTCATTAACTGATATAGAACAGCAGAAGGAATAAAACTCTTTTTGCACAAGGGGGAAAAAAGGTATTGTTTTCCTGAGGGTGCTTGCCTGTGCCAGGAAAATGGCTGAATGCCATGGGTAAACGGAGTAGCAGATGGTGCTATAATCTGATTCAGTTTTGACCCTACTGTAGGCAAGAGAGCCTAGAAGAGGAATGCCATTCAAATGTGTAACCATATTAGCTACCTATCTGGACAGTTCCAAACAAGATGTAAATATTATGAGATTGATTTGGGGTTTGAAGTCAGTTCACGATGGACCCAAGAATTACTGAGGAGAGAAAGCTGCATCAGCTGGAACCTTGATTCTGTCAGTAGAGGTTTAGGCTAGAATTCGACTGGACTCCAGAACTTGGAAGAGAGAAAAAGGCCACATTTCTGTGGCCACTTGCCCTATTATATTTGCACTGATAGAGATACCCTCACAAGCAAAGGATCTTCCATATTTTCTTCATGGAATAATGGCACTTAATTGACTGTTGATAGTACCATTATAACAGCTATCATTCAGGAAGAAAATCTTGAATAGCTTATTAATTTTAGGATTTAGGTTCTAATTCCATAATGCACCAGTGAAAACATACCGTAATGCGAAAATGCTAATAATTATCCAGTGTCCTTCTCTTTACCTTCACAACATTATATATGGACTATCTAGAATGCATCTCAAAACAAAAAGATCAAATGTTTAATGAACAACTGCTAGATTCTGTTACGTACTTTCACACTAGGTCCATTATGGGAACACAACAATGACGTGTTAATTGGGTGTTATTATGCAAGAGACTCAAAGAGATGAAAACTAATTACTAATCAAAAGAGCACATGCAAAAGAGCTTCTGAAGGCATACACGTTTGAAATGTAATTAAGAAAAGCCTCACTAGTCCTTAAAATTATGCTGGTGTGCATGTGTACTAACTATATATTTTTCTAAATATTCATTTTTTAAAAGATCAAGTGACAAAATGTAAAATATATACCTACCAGGTTGAGTGTAGAATATAAACCTATCCAGTTGGGTCTTTGTCAGTTTTAGTCTTTTAATTTTTCTTGCTGTTGCTTTAGTCTTTCTTCTGAGGGTTCTAAAAAACAGTTTGGGAAACATTATTTTAAAAAATCTATAATAAAATAAAGTTAAGGCTATAGATATAATGAATACTCAAGCCAGGAAAAAATTAACAGACCAACCTTAACTTACTTACAGAGGATGCTTTTCATAAATATATCTAAGAGTTCAAAATGCTACAAATGCATAACATGGACAAAATAATTTTATTGCAAGAACTGTAGCCTATCCTTACTTGAACATGTTTTATATAATTTTTAAAGTTTTATATTGTCTTTCCATTGAACTCTCCATTCAAAGTAAAAGCAAATCAAAGAAAGTGCATTTTATTCACAGTGGATGATATTCAGGAAAGGGAAAGCACAGAGGAGTCTAAGATATGTTGAAATGCTAAGTCAGACACGAAACTTCCCTTTATACCACCAATGTTCCCATCTCCAAGAAATCTTGGTATTTTACTCACCAATCTGCCTCCAGGTTGCCTCTGTAATTGATTCCACAAAATCAAAGAAGAAAAAGTTATGGTTGGGGATTTCGTGTTTACAATGTATTATCTTGGCTAATTATTTTACTCTTGGCTAATAACTTTGATTATCTGTCTTGAATACAGATTTTAGTATTTAGCTGGATTTATTAAATTCAAACACAACTTCACTTAACATTACACTTAGTATGTCAAGAATCTTATATAAGTAGCATCAAGAGTACTGGTCAATCTTTAGCATCTTACTATGCTGATAATGACTACAATGGGCAGGGGGTGAGGACTTGATAATATGGGTGAATGTTGAAACCACAATGTTGTTCATGTGAAACCTTCATAAGATTGGATATCAATGATACTTTAATTAAAAAAAAGAAAAAAAGTCCTAGATTTGCTGAGTGTGCTTTCTTACTGAGGAATAAAGAAGCTTTTAAGAATTCTCTACTGCTTAATAACCCCATGTTATTTTTTTCAAATATAGAAAAGGCATATAAGGTATTCATTAGAGATCTAAATCAGTAATTATGAATTTAAAAATGTCTTCTAAATTGATAGGCTTTATCCTCTTTCTTGGTCCATATCTATTCTAAAAAATTCTCAAGTTTCCTAAAATTCCTGGGTTTTGTCGCCCCCCCCCCCCTTTTTATCCTGCTTTCAAGTTGCTGTCCTTGGAACAAGCTCATGTAACAAACATTTCTTTAAATGGAGATGAAACAAGTGTTAGCACACTTCTTTATTTTTTATACTGGTCTGCAGGATAATTTTACAGAGCAGAACTCTTGGACTCTCACTTAAAAAAGTAACAGGAAGGAAGTACAAATATGGGCACAATACTGATAGTATTAAGGTCCCATGCCGAATGAGATTCCTTGAATTCCTAGTAAACAGGTGTTCACATCATTAAACAACTCACTAACTCTACTTTCTCAGCTGTGGGTAAAGTCAAATGATGGCTCAAGGACTGAGTATATATGGGAACCAAATGCTCAGCTCCAGGAACCCTGATGAGTATTAATCACTGTCAAAGATAAAGCTGCAGTTGGTTGTCCATTCCCTATGTGGTCACATGTGCACAGAACTTCTGAGTACATAGGCTCCATCCCAGGGAAAAGGAAGGAAAAGTGATGTGCTTTAGTGGCAAGTGCACTGGGCTGGCAGCAGTCAGGAGACAAGTCTGCATTGCTACTACATCATTCATTTATTTTATGGACATGGGCAAGTTATGTAAACTTTCTGTGTTTCAATATCTTCCTATATAAAAACAGAGCTGAGTATACCTCCCTATATAACTTACAGGATTTGGGGGAAAATGAGAAACTTAGGAAGTTTGCAAAGATTGGAAAGCATTTATTGACATTTTTAGTTTGAGATTTTTGTTTCTCTTGCTCCCTGACCTCCTTTCATTTACTTGTGGGGGCTTTGCAACTCGGCATTAACCCTTCTCAGAAAGGGCCTTACAGTGGGAGGATAACAATTCTTCCTTTTCTCTTTCTTCCATATCTGAGAATGCCTTGTTCCTCAACAATTTTGAGCATTTGCATACACCACAGAATCTCCTCGGCACTGGAGGGACCTTAAGGGTCTTGGTTCAATCTAGCTACCAATGCTTGGGAAAACATTTGAGTACCTACTGTGTGCTGTGTCCTTACTAAGGTGACTCTCCACCCTTTTCTATTATCTCCACCTCCCACTTTTTTGCTGGAGGTAGAAATGAATATAGTTTACACTTGTCTTCTTGCCTTCAGTCACCAAATCCTGCTCATTTTTCCTTAGCATATCCTTTTCCAGTGCTCTGTTACCATTCTCATTTGGGCCCACATCTCCTTGCATCTAGTCTATTGTGAAAGCTTCCTGGTTCTTCTCTCCCCACCTTTCTGGTTTCTCCCTACCTAATCTACTTTGCACAGCTTCATCACTGAGCACCCACTGGGTATAGACACTGTTGGAAATGTACACATTTTTAATACAAGGTCTTACCCTCAAGTTTACAGATTAACATATAAGCTTCAGATCTCATGGTTTACAGTTGAAATGGTATCATTACACTGCTTTATTTTGTTAACAAAATCTTTTTTTCCTCAAGTACATCTTCGCTACAGAATTAAGTTTTAAATTCCTGGATAATAAGGCCCTTGTTTGTATATGTCTTTGAAGTCCCTGCTCACAGCACCAGGGTCCTGCATATGGATAATCAACAAATGTTTGCTTATGAATTAACTGTTCAGGTAGGTGTCTGAACTAATGCCTCTGAATTAATGCCAAAGAAAAGAGATGCACAGTTATGTAAGGTGTCCAAATATTATTATGTATAAGGTGACCAAAAGAGCAGAAGTTATGTACTTTCATGGATCACTTTCTAGATGAGACTTAATGGGAATTTCACCTGTTGATAGTGTGGAAATGCTCCAGTGTCCCTCCCTCTTCCCTCACATTTAAAAAATAAATATATAAATCTCTCCATTCCCATCAAAAACAAGAGCAGAATAATTATCTCCATATCATGTTTTCAGTGGGTGCTGGCATCCCCACCATCACCATCTGACAGTGACACCATCATTCAGTACATACTCAAATTAAAAAGAACTAGCAGAGTATATAAGCAAATCAGGTAATTATTTTCCCTCTCCCAGGAATATGCCCAATTTAAGTCAAACCTTAAAAGCAGATAGCATTAACTAGGCAAAGGAATTCTTTGATAATCCTAAGTACATTTAATAGGCCAGTCAAATCCCTTAGGCATCCGTTAAAGGTCCCATATCAGGTTAGGATCTGGACTAAAATGTTTATTCTGATTTTGGTCTTATTTAGAGAAAGATCTGGTTTTAGCCAATCTCAAATATCCTAGACATGACATTCACCTTTCCTACCTCCAAACAGATTAACAAGCATTAACCCAAGGATAGTTCATTCACTTCTTTCCCCCATTTGGGGTCTAAGTCTCAACAGTAAGGTGAATTAGGAATTCAAGTAACTTTTACTCCCTAGCTTTGTTTTTCAACACACTTGAAATCTTCTGAATCTGCTGTGCCTGCACCCACACAGTCTTATTAAATTATTGTATTTAGTTGGGGGTGTTTGGAGGTAGGGCTGGAGGTGAGGGAGGAGGATGTACAATGATGAGAAAAAGGTTGAACCTTTGAAAATAGTACATACTAGTGTGAAGGAGAGAAGAGAGCTAGAAAAGCGAACTGGCAACGTCAGTTCGGTTGCCATGGGTGGAATCACGCTCAAATCCATAGTTCAGATTGTTCAGGAGCAAGTCTTGAGGGGCATGTGTACTGGGGGTTGGGATGAGGCAAGAGCAGCAGGGGAGGGTTAGGCAGTTGTTGAGAATGGCCCTGGCGGCCATCTGCGCAGGGGAGGACCCATGGCTGAAGCTACAGGGAAAGCCCATCCAGTGGTGACAACACTGAGGCTCTTCAGCTCACCATAGATTCCTGGCATAGTATTTGGCAATACTGCACTGGAGAACTGGGTGGGGATTTCCTTAATCTATGTGAAAATCAATACAAGTAAGAAACGATTGGATCTTTGAGACCCTCTGTCTTAAATGGTATAGGTTGTTTCCACTACGACCTGATGCTTTTGTGTGGGGGAGGGGGGCTGTGGGGGTGGGTTTCTGGTTCCATAGCGGGAAGCCCTCTGACGCACTGGATTCATTTTGTAGAGCTAAGAAGCAATCCGCTTGTTACAAGTTATCAGCGCCAAATGCCACAGCTGTCATGCCACTGAAATGTTATTCCCACATTTATATCCATATTTACATCCTGTATGCAACTAGAAGGGTGCAATGTGGAATTTCACCTTTAACCATTCAATCCTCACAATGACAGCGTTGTGGCTCTGGTCCTGAAGACACACTAGATGGCAATTTGGCACTGTTTTCAGGCCACTTCTTCCCACATAGACTGCCTGAAGGCATATAAGTAGATAAGGTTTGGGTGACTTTAAGTGAGCAGGGTACAGGGAAAAGAAGCTTCCTTAGGAGACCGGGAATGCTGTCATCTCTTTGATACAGGAGCGCTGTTAGCGTTGGGGATTCTAAAACTGAGATGTCACTCATAGTTCAACACCTTGGCCCCAGGTCTTCTCACCTCACCCCCAGGTTTTAGAAAGAGCGGCTGTGGCACATGCGCACTGAGCCACACCCGCTCCCCACAGAGCCCGGCATCTAACTGCCGGGCTTTGGCAGGGGCTCTGGATTACTCAGCAACGCTCCCACTCCACCTTCACCTACTCCCCAGCTCTAACCCCTGTGGCTCCTAGGCCTCATTACCAAAGGGCAAGCTCTCCCGGAGGTCACCCAGCCCTCCCTTTCTCTCTCTGCCCGCAGATCCCCCACCTCCCGGCCTCCCGCGTCGGCCGGGCGTTAGCCCTTCTCCCTGCCCACGCGCCGGCACCTTACCCACTACAATGGGAGAGACCGGAGAGGGCCGCGGGTGCCTGGCAGGTCAGCTCTGCGTGCTGCCAGTCCGGCTCCTCGGCTACACCGTCACCGCTCCTGCTGCCTCCTCAACCTCAGTGGGGCAGCAAGTGCAGCCTGGACCTCGGTGGCCTGACAGCTGCCGCTCGCGCCCGCCACTGCCGCCGCGCAGCGTCTCGCGCCCGCGCCCGCCAGGGGAGGGGGCGGGGCCCGCGCCGCCTCCTCGGGCCCCTTTCTTGATGCTGGAGACCCAGTGAGCCGCCTCCGACCCTCGTGCGCTCAGAGCGCTACCTGGCTCGCTCACCCTTCTTTCGTGCTCAGTGTCCAACCCTGGCCTCGCTTGTCCTCCTTCCCTTATCTCACCCATTAATAGGCACAGCGGCCACGGACTGTCAAATATTGCCCTCCCACTGAGCTCTTCTGCAACCTGGGGCACCGGCCCCATTTCTACCTGCCTCATTTACCTTACCTCCAAACCTTCTATTTCTGCTAAGAGGATGGCACAAATATCCTCCTGTTTCAAATCAGTCAGGGAAATAAGTAATCACAACACATTACTTGACCCTCTAGCTGGCTACTGCTCGGAAAATACTCATGGGAATCCAAAAGAAAAGCTTCACAGCTGTAGCTCAGGCACAGAAGGCACACTGCTCTTTACCGTTCTAGAGGACAGTATAGAGGGCGTTACCTGAGGATTCCACTAATGTTGCTGGGGTAGAATGCAAGGTACCATCCAGCTGGTCCTTTGTTGTTGTCTCTTGGGACCCTGTGGTACCTCCAACTAGTCGTGATTTTTTTCCCCTGAAATCAACGAACAATGGAGCTCCTGGAATCAATTAGGCCGCATTCCAACTCTGTCAGGCAGATCCATCTCTGAACCTTCCCCAATGTGTGAGAACCTGTGCCTGTGTGGCACTGTCTTTCACTCACCAGGGCCCTCACACATGCCCTCCCTACATCTAGGCCACTTTTCTCTCTCAAGTCAACCATTCAATCAATCCCACAGGCTCCAGTTTAAATGTCACTTCATCAGAGCAACCTTTCTGAATAACCCCAGAATAGAGAAAGTGCCTTGATTTATTCTCTTGTAGCCTCCTGTAGCCTGCTGTACTTTTCCTTCATAATACTTGTCTGTTTATGATATTATGATCTAGTTAGGATGAGATAAATGTATTATTATCTGATCAACAACTGCCTTCTTCCACTAAGCCATGTTGCACTATAAAGTCAAGGACAGTGATTGTTTAGATTCACCATCATATCCCCAGAGCCTAGGGCAATGCTTGCTACATAGGACATACTCAGAATATATTTGTGGAATATAACTGAATATTATATCATCAACAATTACTGTTATTTTGAAATAAAATGAATGGACCTATCTGAATATGTTGCACTCCTACTTAAACCACTCCCAACACCCGCCCCAACAAAGACATTAAAACACTCTTCTGATGGGGAAAAGATGCACATAGTCCTCTAAAAGAATTTTTTACTTACCCATTCTTATTTTTAATTAAAGAAAACTTTTAAGCATGCACCCCAATATATGTATGTGTATTTATAAACTATATATATGTACTACTGTTACCGGCTGAGAAAGCTGTTTTTCCCAGGATCATGTCTCAGAGGTGACAAATAAGCCAGCAGACAAGAGTATGGAGCAACCAATGAAGTTCTTTTCTTTTTTAATTTTATTTTGGTATCTTTAATCTACAATTATATGGGGAACATTATGTTTACTAGACTCCCCCCTTCACCAAGTTCCCCCACAAACCCCATTACAGTCACTGTCAATCAGCATAGTAAGATGCTGTAGAATCACTACTTGTCTTCTCTGTGTTGCACAGCCCTCCCCGTGCCTCCCCCAACATTATACATGCTAATG